CTTTATGGGACAAATATTTAACACGTAAAACATACAAAGGGACTTTTTGGGTGTCCCACCATCACCCTGTTCCCAGGAGGCCCCCCTTCTCTGTAAAACATGGGACTGATTCTACTTACATTCATTAGAAAAGGGTAATGTATCCAATTGTGATATGCAAGCGCTTTCCTCAACAAAAGAGATGCTGCTTGCTGTAGATGCCTTCAGTTTAAAGAAAGCGAACAATGTTTGAAAGACAGCTTCTCCCGCCCCATCCAATAACTTCGATAGTTCAAACTGCATTTTTGTCATACTAGAATTCACACTTTTCACATGCAGCTGAATAGAGGGGAAGCATAAGCATTCAATAAGGATACAACAGAACAGAGGAAGGCAGAAAGAAAGGAGAGTGAGAAGATGCAGAAGGGAGGGAAGGGAAAGGATACTGTCTCGATCCATTTTCCTTAAGTAACTGTTTTGCTCACAAGAATGTCAAAGTTTCTAAGTGTCCATATGGCTCACTTTTATTTGATCATCAGGCCAAGGCTTCTGAATTTATAGAAAATATAGCATGGACCTCAGAAAATGAATTATATGAATAAAACTTAGTATCCCATATGGAAATAAAATCTGTTAATGGCACCAAGTCCCATAGAATTTGGGTGTCCCAAATAAAATAAAATCCATCTTAAAAATGAATCAACCATTCTCTGGTGAAACACCTACTGCTCCATTACAGCGTCACCCAAAGCTAATTAGGACATGGGGCAATGTTTATGAAGGAACAAAGTCACAATTTCAAAAAAAAATGACACCTTTGAATTATCGACTAAAAGTATGTACAGACTCTTTAATTCCTTTTAAATTAATAAGACACCTGCAGCAGAGAGCTAAAATCTCGATATAATTGAGCTCATAAAAATAAAATTGTATTTAATTATTCTGGCTAATGTTTACTTACATTAAGGAGACCATTACTATCAGAGTCATTAAAATACAATCCAAACAACATCAATGAGTACATTTGCATGATACTGCCCTAGCCACCCCCCAACAGCAAACCCAGTAACATCAAGTGGATTCTGACCCATAGCAACCCTACAAAGCATGTCAGAGGCTGTCAATCTGTAAGGAGGGTCTAGTGATTCACCTTCATGTTAGCCATCAAACACACCTGACAGCACCAAGGTGGGCAGCTACACTAGCTGGGCACTGAGGAAATTCTGGATGGAAAGCATAAGGCCATGAAAACTTAGCTACAACTTCCTTTTGTTCTCTGAAATTCCAAGTATCATACTCCAAAGAGATTCATCCAGGCTTCTTGATTTTAAAAGTACTCCCTTTTTAATCTTTTTTTTTTTCCTTTTTAATCTTAATAACAAAAAAGAAAGGGGTGGGGGGGAGGTTGAAGCATAAATTCAATAGCTTTTGAACTATTTTACCACCAAAAAGGTCTGGCTTACTAAAAACAAAACCATCAAATAAAAACCCAATAAGCACACATTGAGTCAATGATGTCAAGACTATATATCTTGATTATACTTTCTTCTTGGTTAAAATGACAAGCCATGTAGAAACTCATTTTTAAAAACAATTGCCATTGAGTAGATTCTGACTGATAGTGAGTCTAGAGGACAGGACAGAACTGTCCCTGTAGGTTTCTGAGACTGGATTTTCTTTAGAGGAGTAGAAAGGCTCATCTTTCTCCCGAGGAACAACTGGTGGTTTCAAACTCCTGACCTTGTAGTTGGCAGTCCAAAGCAAAAGCTACTATGCCACCAGGGCTCCTGAGTTAATCCTGGTTAAAATACTCTCCTTGGCTTCCACAGTGACAAAGTTTTAGCTGAACCAACTTCTACTTTGGGGAACACATATAGTTCAAGTTCTTATTGTGGTTTTTCAGAGGTACCATCCCAATTAGTAACTAATCCTGTGGGTTAGTCACTCCTTAGAGGAACAAAGCTAAGATTAACAACAGAGAAGCAGCAGCATCTCTCATATTCATGTCTTCTGAGGGGCAGTGTGTCTTCTGAGGAAAGAGCTTCTTTCGGTCAAATTAGAACCAAAGAGCAAATTCCTGACCAAACTGGCATCATTTGTTGCTGGATCTTGAATGGGGGTGAACCTGCCCACCACCATGCACTAGACAAAACCTAGAGCTGCTTTTATTGACTTGACGAAGAGGGATTGCTCCTGGCATCGAGTAGCCGAGGGCTCTGGCACGATGCTAACCACCATGCAACATTAAGGACAGCCTCCACAGCAGAGCATGACCTTAGCCTGCCGTACTTAGTCATCAAGTTTACATCAGATTAAAGGCAAGCAGCTTTCAGTCAACAGTCACTATGTCACCAATGACATCCAGACAAAGGGCCCTAACCTGAGAAGGAACCCAAAGAGCAAATAATGTAAAACTATTAACATTCAGTCTGAAATTTCCCATACTTAAACCTGACCATAGATTTATATGAAGAACAGCAATCAAATAAGAAAGAGTACAGCTAGAATGAGGCATTTAAACTGTGCTGCTGGCAAAAAACACTGTAGGTACCATGGACTGCCAAAAGACCAAGCAAATCTATCTGGGAAGATGTACAACCAGAATGCTCCTTAGAAGTGAGGACAGCGAGACGCTGTCAGGAGAGACCAGGCCCTGGAAAAGGACATCATGCTTGGTAAAAAAGCAGAAAAAAAGAGGAGAGCCCTCAACAAGACAGACGGGCACGGAGGCTGCAACCATGGGCTCCAAAATGACCACAGGATTGCTGCTGAGGCGGAACTGACTCGACAACACTTAACAATGCTGGACTGTCTGAACAGTTGTGGGAACAGTTTTAAAGAGAAGCACATAACCTTAGTTTAAGAAAAGATGGGACATTACCACCTCTCAAATCCCTCATGGCAACTGTTATATGAACCAACAAATCTCCTCTTCTCAACATACAAGCATGAATTGGGTTTGTTCTTAAGACTTTTGTATGAATTGTGTTTCTTCTCAATACATTAGTATGAATTGGGTTTCTGTTTTTTGCAGGAGAAGGTCCAAATTAAAAAGGGGGAAAAATTCAGTAGAAATGAAGTATGACAAGTAAGACATTAAAAAGTGGGACGGACTGACTTAGGAAAGACTTGCAAAGAAGTAGATCATTCTTTTAGGTGATGGCAACAGGTGGTTTATGCCTTGGGTCTCCAATGAGTCTACGAAAGTAGGGTTTCAAGGGACTCACCCTTAAAATGTCTGCAGGTTTGCTTGTTCTCACTGCTCTGTTATAAGAGAAAAACTTCAAATGAAAACTGGGCCAAAAAAGGCTTTTCTTTCTGCCTTTTCCCACCAAGAGGAGGCAACTAGAATGCAGTGTGCCAAGAGCGCAGCTACGCAGAAAGGCTAGTTCTCTGCTCCGAGCTGACCAGAGCAACCAGGCCACTCAGGAGAGATGAGAGGAGCCAGAGACTCAGGTGCATCCCAGACCCGCCAAGGACACTAAATGATCCCCACCCAGCAAGAAGTACTAAGCCCATCACCCCCTGCCCCTACAAGAAAAAATAACAATCCACTGAGAGGCAAGAGGCCCAGTAAGGGCCCCTCCCCACCTCAGAATGTAGTTTAAAGCTGTCCCAAAGCCGAGCCCCAGCCAGGGCACAATGCTGGGAGGTAGGATGGGGGGTAATGGGGGGAAAGAAAGGATATAGACGTCTGCAGAACTGCAATGCCAAGTGCAGAATCATGAGTAAAACGTTATGACTGAACAACAGCTCTCTGCCTGCCACTGCCAACACAGGCAGGTAACTGATTGCACATCAATAAGAAGCCAGTCTACAAAATGCCAACCATGCTCTTAAGGCAGTTACAGTGGAAGAGAAGGACAATGAGACTGGCAGAGCAAGTCCTGGGGTGGCTAAACCCCATTAAATAAAGGGGTTTCAGAGATGAGTCAGTACCACTACCACCACCACCCCAAGCCGCCCCTAAGCCCTGCCGAGGTGCATAATAGAAGGGCACCTACAGACTTCTTCCCAGGAAGCAGAGAGGCATGGGCGGCTAGCCCAAATGGGGAAGGCATCCCTGGGAAGGGGCTCACCACTCAGCCCACTGTGGCCCTGTGTGCTAGCTCCCCTCTGCCCCTTCCAACTCTCTCATTTTCCCAACACACTCGATGAGGGCTATGCTACACCACCTACACTTACCACTCGCTAGAGACAGCCAAGTGAGAAGATCCATGCAGATCAGATCCAAGAGGACTGCCCAACTCCGCGAGACCCTGAATTTAATACTGGGGGCAGGGGCATGTCAGTGCCCTCTGGTGGAGGATGCAGGGGGCCTATCGTTGGTTGTTGGTGAGACACAGAATAGTGAAGACATTTCTCAAAGTGTACACGGTTAAAAAAAATGTACTATGCTAACCATTAATTCAAGGGGACTTCAAAAAATTGATGGGAAAGTGAAATTAAAAGATAATGAAATTACTCAATAAACTTTTTTGAAGGGCCTTCATATACCTGGTGGCTTTCGAGACCACCTCTGACATATGCCAAGAAAACAACTTTACTGTAAAACCTGCAGAGCTTGGACTCAACAGAACTGTCTTGCTGCCTCAAGTCTTTCAAGTGTTCCACCTCTGACAGGGTGCAGTCTATCAGGGTGCTGTTCTATTTGTCCCTCTCTAGCAGGAGAACACCAGTGCTTTTTCCTCTTCCCTCTCTGACCGGTTTCCGCTGTACATGGGGGCTCTGCCTTTTGCAGGTTTCCTCAAACATCAAAAGCTACCCCAAACTTGGGCATCCTCCCCTCCAGAGCCAGCTCCAGTTTAAGTACTCCAGTGGATACTATCCTTCCCTGCTTTCCATCCTCGGACACCTCCCCTGAAGAGAGTACTTCTTCAACACTAAACGGAGGACTCTGCTGCAGAGCGGGGAAAGGAGAAGTCATGTATATGTGTGTTCAAAAGTGACGTGTCTGCAGTTAGCCAGCATATGTAAGGCTGGAGATAGTGGCTGTGGGGCACAAGCTCACATTTCCATACCATTTTTGTAGGTAGTCCAGTGCCTCCAACCGAGCACCAATCTCAAACGTGATCCCAGGGCGATTTGGGGGCTTTTTACTCATCTTGAGATGCTGTTCTTCAGTGGCGGCTTTTCACTGCCTCGAGAGAAAAACAAACAAACAAAAAGGGCTGTTAGGGTCTGAGACCTAAAATAAACAGAAGAGAGAACAGAGCATAGCATCCTGTGAGTGAATAGAAAAAAACAGAGGGAACACTAAATGGCTACTTACAATAATGGCCAAATTTTAAGAATCTGAATAACAATTAGAAACATAGCCAAGTCACATATTACGTATTTGGAAACAACCTTTGTGGCAAGTTAAGAAAAAAGGAGAGATGAAAGGTAAAGATTTAAGAATGAGAGCATGAGAACTGCAAACATGCCCTAAAATGTCATCTGAAGAGACTCAGGATACTTCCCCGCACTGAGGGCCCAAAATGCTCTCCAGTCTTTGAAGTGGAAGATAATTGCCTATCGTGGCCTGTGACCAAGTGAAATTCTTAAATGAATTCATCAAGATTTTCCCATTTTAACAAATAATTATGAGTGCTTAATACAACACACTGGATGAGGCACCAAGGAATACACAGAATCAGACCAAAGTGGTGAGCATATTCCTCCTTCCGTGAAGAGGACAGTATTCCCTCCTGTAAACAGGCGCTTTCAACACCAACAATCCCCCCACCTTGTAGCTAATACTTGAATCCCTTTCACTTAACCTACAAAAGTGATTAAGGAAATGTCTTCTTATGCTTCACATCCAATAAGCAATAATCAAATGGATGTCCTTTTAACCCAGACACCCTCCTTCTAAGGTGGATGTTAACACAGTGCCCACATTGACAGTAAGGGTGGCTGCAAGTTTAAAACAAACAGAAAACTACACAGGACTCTCCATCCTAGAGCATTGACAAGGGGGTTACTTTTTAGCCTTTGAGCCACACCCTCCACCCAGCTCCCTAAAGAAGCCTTTCACTAACGAGGACTTCAAAAATCTGAAGGCCTTTGGAGACAGTCTGGGCAGAAATGTACACTTATGACTTCAGAGACAGCAGGGATTCACAAACATTTATGTTTTTATGTTATAAAACATATGTATAGTCATTATGATCCCTGACAGCTTTTAGAAGAGTACACAAATAAATTATCATTTTTCTAAAGATGGGTTGGTCACACGATTCAAAATAGACAAAACGTTAACAGCAAACCAAAGTCTACTTGCCATTTCCTCTCTCTTTGAAAGAATCTGATGGGCAAGGGAAGAAAATAGCATCAATACTTATTTGCCTTCAAACTGTAAAAATCAAACCTAAGCACTCATGGGTGGGGAGGGTGCTGGGAATGCTTCTCTTATGGGGCAGTGGGGGGAGCACAGTGGGTAAGCACTGGTTCACTGGTCCCTACCCACCAGCTGTTCCACAGGAAAAAACGCATGGCAGATGAGGGCCTGCAAGCCCCCCTGGGACAGCTCCACCCTGTCCTATGGGGTCGCTAGGAGTCGGAATTTACTGGACCGCAATGATTTTTTATGCATCAGCAAGGACAGGAGCATTAACAATGTAACAGGAGTCTCCGCTCAGGCAGGGTGCATTTGATGTACAAAGAAAGGACATCTAAGCACTTTTAAAATAAAGCCGGTCTCTTCAGCGTGCAAAGTATCAGCACTACCGCTTAAATGTCCTTGCGGAAATCTCATCCACGTTTCTCGGTTTCCCCGGGAGGAACTCCGCAGGGCTCCACGGTTACACTAACATTTTCTAGGATCGGACAGAGAGCCTGTAATAAGTGATGAGGTTAGGGCACGCACCGAATCCCTGACATCATTTCGGAAACTCAGAAAGTTTCCTCACTTCTTCCGGGGAGGGGAAGGATCTGTTATGAGGAACTTTTACCAAGTCAGACAGGCGATGGAGAAGGATCCAGGCGAGGGAACGGAGAGGGAGGCGAAGGGAAGGAATAAAAAAGGAACGAGGGTGGTGAAAGTTGGGGGCAATTGGCAAGCGGCGGAGAAGAGA